TTCAGGAAACAGCCTGAGTGAAACCCACAGGCCTTGGCAGCTGGTCAGATACAGGGAGCCAAAAGAAAGGAAGAATTAAAGATGACTGCTCATTTGTAGGCCCAAGAAACTGGGTAGAAATGGTTACCAATGGCAGGAAATGGGGAGTCTGGAGAAGGATTGTGAGGGAAAGGCCATGAATTGTTTTCAACTTTCTGAATTAGAAGTGCCTGTGCAGTAGTTTATGGAGATGTGAGCATCGCAAAGTCAGAGGCCTCATCTTATTCATCTTTTCCTGGTACCTAGTAGATGCCATGTAAACAGTAAATGAACGAATGAATGAGCAAATGAATTAATGAAGCAATAACCAGCAATTATTTAGACTATGGGTCTGAAGCTCTGTACGTAACTAAGGATGGAATGTGGGTCTTCTCTGTGGAGAAGTGAGGGCTGAGTTCAAGGAGGGCAGGTGTAGGCAAAGCCCATGGATGGAATCGTGAGGATACTTGTATTTAGGGAACATGAGAAAGATGGCAAGCCCATGAAGGAGGCAGAAGACAAAACTGAGAGGTAGGAGGGAAGTCAGGATAATGCAGTACTCCCATGGGAAGAGGGGAGTTTCAGGAATAATATCATCTTTGGGGCCCAGTGTGGCCAGAGGGGCAAGACCTGGGAAAGACCTGTAGGTATGAGGCTCTGAGACAGACAGTCTCAATTCTGTAGCCCCTAAGGCTGGACTCCACAGGGTTAGACTTTGTAGTAATGGACAGAGAGAAGGCAAGAGCTCAGAAACATGCTGAGTCTTTGGGGGGTTCTAGACTAGGTAGAAACTGAGCACTAAAAAGGGAGACCCAGCAATGGAATCAAGAGCACTGGAAGATGAGTGGGCGGTGGCAAGGCTGAAGGATACTGCCCCTGCTTCCCCAGCCTCACCCTCCACCTCAGCTCCATCTCAGAACCACAAAAATCAATTCCATTGGCACTGACAGAGTGCTGCCAATGGTCTCAGACCTGCGGGCAGTGAGGTAGATACCCCCAACTGGAGCCTGGACCACATGCTCTTTACTGCCTTTCCTGACTTGACGTTCTCTGTGGCTAAGGTGTAAGAGCAGACTGTCAACGGCATCCCACCGTTCTGTCTCTATCGAAATGAACAATCACCATCACCTGTTCACTTAACAGCCTTATTTTTGTTTGCTTCCTGTCTGATCTAGATGCAGCCGCTCTCTGTTCCCTGTCCCAATGAACATCTGCACTAGGCCCCAGCCTTGGAGTGACTTACCTGAAGAGTGACACCATTTCTCTGGAAACTACTGTGAGTACATTACGCCTCTAGTGAAAGGCTTCTTAGTTCATTTTGTCTAATTAAACATACATACACAATTGTAAAAGCAGATGAAATTTTAGATGGCTTCATCCCTTGGACGCAGCTGGGTAACCAGACTCAGTCCTGAGGTGCCCGACTGGTCTCAGCCCCCAGCCTGCCATGTACTCGCTGCGCAGCACCATGCCCTCCTCGCCAGGTAGCTGTGCTGAGCTGGCCCTAAGCTCACCTTGCAGGGACTGGTTCTGGGGAAAATGGGGGACCTCAGCAGCTTCTCAAAATTCTCTTTTGACTTAAAAACTGAGCACATTGGATATGAAAGTCACTGAAAAAGAATAAATAAGAAACCTCATGAAGTCATTTTCACTGAGTCTTTTTTAGAGTATAGCCACCCTTCAAGCAATAAAACATGACACACCATGTAGTAGTTCTGATTAATAGACCCTCAGGCATGTGCTAAGGCAAAAGGGAAAATAAGGGGATGGGTAATGATTTGTCAAAAAATGAGAAGATCATAGAAAATAGGGTGTGATGCTGAGAAAGAGGGGTTTGATTAAAGGACAGAAAAATCATGTCTCCACTTAATTATAAAATATACAATTAAATAAAATGTTAGGCATATTTAAAATATACACTTATCTAATTACACAATGGATTTGTGTGCTTCCAAGTGAGTTTTCACTGCAATGTACTAGACATACGGGTCAGGGATTTCCTTTATCATTTTAGTATAGTTGCCAGGGGGGCAAAGGAGAAGTAGCTCCATCCAGATGTGCTGATAGGCTGTGCAACCTCATGATGGTTTAGAAAGAACCATGAAGAGCTCTCATGCCCAATCTGCTGTTTTGGTGGCTACTGGGTGTTGCTGTTTAATAGGTGTCCCAATGCATAAGATGGCTCCACCTTACTGGCCAAAAAGAACATGATTAACAGTAGCAACTTTTTCTCTGGTGAGTAACAATGAGTAAAGGGCTCCCTAGGAGAGGCAGGTGAAGTCTTGCAGCATTGCAGACTAACATTTAAGAGCTGGGCTTTTCTGGCAAAGGGAAACTACTGAGATCCCCTGGAAGAGTCTGGTTTTCTCACCTGGGTAAACACAGTTATCCCCACTACGTGTTTTGTTGGGCTTTTCATCTGTGGGTGAGAAAAAATGATCCTGATTAAGGCTGAGGATAGAGAGGACATTAAACAATTAATGTTTGTTTCGCGACAAGAGGAGAACAAGGGAAGAAAATTAGGACAGACTTGGGAGCAGTCATCTATGCATTTGTACAAGTAAATTAGTGATATGATGAAAGAAAAATAAGTAAAAATTTTAATTTGTAGGATAAATACTGGGCAAAGCCAGGTAGAAGAAGTGTTGGTGAGGCACAAGAGCAGGATCACCAATGGCCTGTGTTTCTGTAAAGTAATGAATTTACCAACAGAATTACTACAGCACGTACTCCCCGAGAATGCCACCAAACCAGTTGCTTTTCCAAAGCATGAGAAATTTCTTCACTCCCATTTTCACAGGAGTTTTTCACCCCAGTGGTATTTGCAATATTGTCATAGTTGTTCTACTGACCATGTGGAAAGGTTTACTTCCTTGTACTTCTAATCCACCCTCCTTGGTCGGCATCATTAACTATAAAAGGTTCAGTTTATCAAAGTGAATATGTGAAACAGAGTTCTTTATTTTTCGGAGCCCAGCTTCTCCTTGCCAGCTGGGCACCTAACTCCTCACTCTCCCTCACACAGGTCCTGAGCAAGCACCGACAGATATTTAGAGATATGTGGCCTTTTAATATCAGTTATCATCGTTCAGCCACTAACAGGATGTGTCCTTGTGCAAATCAGTACCCTTAATTTCCTCATTTGAGAAATGAGGGGGTTGCAGTCGATGAGCTTCAAGACCTCTCCAATCCAGTCTTAGTTTCCATGACTCTGAGCAAGAATCTTTTTAATTCTGCTTAGCAGCCATCAGCTGAGCACAAACCTGTGTGTCCACAAAGTAAAAATGGTCACTGCTTGCAAGAAACTTCTAGAGAGAAGAGACAAGTTACTCAGTAATTATTAGACTCTGTAGAGCGAGCAGAGGGAGCAGTGCAAACAGTGCCTTGGAGTTCAAGGAGGGCACTTCCCTTTGTGAAATGCTGCTTAAATGAGGTGGCATTTGGCTGGCCCTTAAAGTTGGGAAAATGGAGACAACACCATGCAGTGGTGGGAAAGAGTGGGCCTTGGCTGCAAGGTAGAAGGGACTACAGAGATAGGTGGCAGAAATCAGATCGGAGCAATGTGGTAGGGTCCTCTGATGCCAGACTCAGAAGTTTGGATTCAGTCCAGTGAGCAAAGAGCAAAGGAGTAATGTGTTTAGAATGGTGCTTCAGAAAAACGAATGTACTGTTGGTGTGAAAGATGGCCTACAGGTCATGCATCTGGGAATTTCACTTGGGAAGCTCTCACAGAAGTCTTGGCAACAGGTGATTAAGGGATAAATAGGTGGTGGGCTGGAAAGTGGGTACTGGTTCAGGAAACAGCCTGAGTGAAACCCACAGGCCTTGGCAGCTGGTCAGATACAGGGAGCCAAAAGAAAGGAAGAATTAAAGATGACTGCTCATTTGTAGGCCCAAGAAACTGGGTAGAAATGGTTACCAATGGCAGGAAATGGGGAGTCTGGAGAAGGATTGTGAGGGAAAGGCCATGAATTGTTTTCAACTTTCTGAATTAGAAGTGCCTGTGCAGTAGTTTATGGAGATGTGAGCATCGCAAAGTCAGAGGCCTCATCTTATTCATCTTTTCCTGGTACCTAGTAGATGCCATGTAAACAGTAAATGAACGAATGAATGAGCAAATGAATTAATGAAGCAATAACCAGCAATTATTTAGACTATGGGTCTGAAGCTCTGTACGTAACTAAGGATGGAATGTGGGTCTTCTCTGTGGAGAAGTGAGGGCTGAGTTCAAGGAGGGCAGGTGTAGGCAAAGCCCATGGATGGAATCGTGAGGATACTTGTATTTAGGGAACATGAGAAAGATGGCAAGCCCATGAAGGAGGCAGAAGACAAAACTGAGAGGTAGGAGGGAAGTCAGGATAATGCAGTACTCCCATGGGAAGAGGGGAGTTTCAGGAATAATATCATCTTTGGGGCCCAGTGTGGCCAGAGGGGCAAGACCTGGGAAAGACCTGTAGGTATGAGGCTCTGAGACAGACAGTCTCAATTCTGTAGCCCCTAAGGCTGGACTCCACAGGGTTAGACTTTGTAGTAATGGACAGAGAGAAGGCAAGAGCTCAGAAACATGCTGAGTCTTTGGGGGGTTCTAGACTAGGTAGAAACTGAGCACTAAAAAGGGAGACCCAGCAATGGAATCAAGAGCACTGGAAGATGAGTGGGCGGTGGCAAGGCTGAAGGATACTGCCCCTGCTTCCCCAGCCTCACCCTCCACCTCAGCTCCATCTCAGAACCACAAAAATCAATTCCATTGGCACTGACAGAGTGCTGCCAATGGTCTCAGACCTGCGGGCAGTGAGGTAGATACCCCCAACTGGAGCCTGGACCACATGCTCTTTACTGCCTTTCCTGACTTGACGTTCTCTGTGGCTAAGGTGTAAGAGCAGACTGTCAACGGCATCCCACCATTCTGTCTCTATCGAAATGAACAATCACCATCACCTGTTCACTTAACAGCCTTATTTTTGTTTGCTTCCTGTCTGATCTAGATGCAGCCGCTCTCTGTTCCCTGTCCCAATGAACATCTGCACTAGGCCCCAGCCTTGGAGTGACTTACCTGAAGAGTGACACCATTTCTCTGGAAACTACTGTGAGTACATTACGCCTCTAGTGAAAGGCTTCTTAGTTCATTTTGTCTAATTAAACATACATACACAATTGTAAAAGCAGATGAAATTTTAGATGGCTTCATCCCTTGGACGCAGCTGGGTAACCAGACTCAGTCCTGAGGTGCCCGACTGGTCTCAGCCCCCAGCCTGCCATGTACTCGCTGCGCAGCACCATGCCCTCCTCGCCAGGTAGCTGTGCTGAGCTGGCCCTAAGCTCACCTTGCAGGGACTGGTGCTGCTCTGCTTGGTCATGCCCTCTACCTGACGCAGTGGCCACTCCTGCCCCATCTGTTTGCCTCTTGTCATCCTTCTGTGCCACTCTGTTGAATGTCACTGACACCCTGGTCAAATCCATGAGCCAGCCTCCCTTGCCCATGTCTACCTGTTGCATGAGCTGCATCTCTGAGCCCGTGCTGTTGCCTACTTGCTATTCTAGGGGGCTAAGGCCCACCCCTTGGGCTCTGGGCTCCTTCAGCCATATCCCTAAGCCATTGCCTCTGGCTCAGCTCTGCCCTCTGGATGCATGTCCCCATGTACTTGGGTTAGTTCCCACCATGTCAAGCATATTTGTAAAAGTACAGCCCTGGCAAAGCAATGTGCAGAAATAAGTTGGGATAGGAGATATAATGCCTACAGGAAAATACTGATGAAAGATTGATATCAAGTGTTCATTAATCATGACTAAAAGTAACATGAACATTTTCTTTTACGAGAAATGCCAGAAGTTTAAATTATTTAGAGGCAATGCATGCCAAATAATTTAATCATACATTTTAAAACAAAAACTCAATTCTTGTTGCACTCACAACTTTTCCTATATAGTCTGAGGCAGGTAATGGGATGTGTTTTACAGACATCTCTGTTACTGAAAAATGCTAACCATGGGAGACTAATGTCTTAGGCTTTCAGGTAGGATTTTCACATGCCTATTTGCGATGTCTTTAGCTTTTCTGGCATAAATCAAACCCAAAGAGCTGAAGCCAGAGTTTTTGTTTCTGGTTGCTTTTTATTTTGCAGTTGATAGTAGCAGATACATGTAGGTGATTGGCAGCTGGTCTGGCCAGAATGGAGATGGGACCCTTGAGTGATCTAGACAGAACTAATAGATATGAGGGATTGTGTGCTAAAGACACAAGAGATCAAAAATAGACTGTCTTCACTCCATATCTGTGCAAGGAACTCACTGTGTACCTTCATTCATTCCTAAGTTCAGGTGTAAGAGTGCCTTAGAAGTTCCTACATCTAGATGGTTTTCTGAGTTGTTCTTCAGAGCAACCATGCAAATGGCATGGCCTGGTTTCAAAGTTTCTATATCCTTTGGGAGAGAAAAGAGTTTTTACCACTCCTACCTTCCTGTGCTGCAGAGAACCCATATCCAGGACCTGGGACCCAGAAGTCGGGACCTAAGGTCTCCTGAAAATCATAGGGAAGGCCAAAAGTGAGCAGCTGTTTCTGCCCTAAAAGGCATTTCACCTGTGCAGAATGCCTGTGCCTGCTTTCACATTTCACAGGTCCTAGAGAGTGGACAGGTTGGGTTTTAATCTTTGCAATCTCTGCTTTTCAGAAACTCCCTTGTACATAGAGAAGAAACAAATGAACCTTACAGAGACTTGCTAGGTACACAACTAATATGGTGAATAAAGCATAAAAATATGGATTAATTACAACGTGTCCCTTCCTGTGGGTTGACAATGCCCTTGGCCAGGTCTCAAGGCTTGGGGCTGTGTAGGGAGGGGATGAGTGTTACCCACTTCCACACCACCCACACAGCCATGCTCAGCAGCCCTGACTACTTACCTGTGATAACCGATGAGAGAATGTCTATGTGTGGCACAACCAAAGTGAGTATATTTACTCAGTCAACTACATATTCACTATGTGCCAGGCACTGTTCTAGGGATGAGGGACATGGCAGCAAACAAAAAAAATGAAAGTCCCTGCTCTCACGGAGCTTACATTCAGTTTTCTTTCCCAGTAAATGGCACATAGACTAAGTAGGTACATGGACGCGAGGAGAGACATAATTTCATTTTCTTTTGCTGTGCCTTTCCTCTCAGAAAGTAAAATTGACAGGAACAGGGCAAAGGAAATGGAGACAGATTAGTCTCCCCCCACATACACCCACAACCCCAGAACCATTCTCTGTCCTGCTATGTGGCCAAGGAGCATGGCCTCTCTGGACTGCACTACCCAGGCTCGCTTCTCCTCTGGCTTCCCCTTGAATTTGGCCAAAAGGAGACATGGGCAAGAGATGTGTGAGTAGGAGGAGAGTGAGTCCAGGTATTTATCAGTCCAGCCCGCGCTCCTAAGTCCAATTCTGATTGGATGTAGAGAGCACGACACCTTCCCGTGCCCCTTCAGTTTAATAGTCTAAAGTGAGATTAACAGCTTTCCACCACTGCTGGTGTCCAGGGCTTGACCAATCCCTGAGGTCCCTTAACCTTCCCTCTACCTCATGTGCAGTCTCTTCATGAACTGTCTTCAGCCAAACCCTTGGAGCACACCACCTCTCTCTGGCCAGGATCCTGACTGGTAGAGTGAGGGAGAAATACACTGAGAAGCACTCAAAATCAGCCTTGCCCAGAAGGTTAAAAGATAAAAAAATTGAGTGAATGAACTGTTTTAATCATGAAAACATCTTAAATTTATCTGAGAACACTAGACCCTGCAGTGAAAGGGTGAATGTAAGAAGACATGGCAGCAAGGATGTCAAAGGTTGGCTTCAGTGAACAGACCATAGTGCTCACATTGGGTGGGCTTCTATAGGCCAAGTGTAGCCTGCTTGACCCTCAACTTCCAGAGGAGCTCTTGGTATAGCAGCAGCAATGGACAGACGTGAACAGAAAGAAGGTGTCAGGAGATAGCATACTAAGATCAAAGTGCTGAAAAAGAGATTGCTTACCCCAGCATTCCTTCTGCCTCGGCTATAACTACCATGCGTTTGCTCCTGCCCGAACCTAGATATCAAAAAAGATTACTGAGCCAATGGAAGCTCCTTCAAGCTGAAATGATGGAAGCCACAGAACTCTTGCTCTCTGTGGAAAGAGCTGCCATCATTGGGCACTGGCCATGTGCCAACCACTTGACATGAATTATCTGTCTCTTTTGCTCCTCACCCCAGCCCTAGGCGGTGGGTAATATTATTCCCACTTTACAAGTGAGGAAATTGAGGCCCAGAGAAGCAGAGTAATCTTCTCAGGACACGCAGCTACTAAATGGTAGAGCTCAGTTCTACCATCAACCCCCACCGGGGTGGTTCACTACCAACCCCTCTTCACCCTCCTCCCCAAACCCTCCACTAAGCCTTGTCCATATATTATTGGGAAAGAGAATAAGGAAATGGTTACTATTATGAAGATTGGGACGAGAGGGGAGCATAAATGGTCTAAATTGTTAAGATTTGATGAATGAGGAATGATTTATCAAATCAAGGTTCTAATTTCCTATCCAACCAGGCTGAGAAGTGGAGGCATGTTAATGTGCAGGAGAGGGTGGGAGCCCAGTGAAGAGAGAAAATTGGGGGAGATAGAGGAGAGCATTCTCCTCCCAACAGCCCCTGGAGACTGATAAGAGCTCACACAGATAAAATATTTATTTTCCATATGTTGCAGAAAACATTGCCATCACTGTATGTGTGCAGTATGTGCAAAGAAGTGTGAAATATATATATCAAATGCCGCCGATCTGGTTAATTTCCATGCATTCACATGCTTATACCTACCATCTCATCAATATGTTTTAGTGCATATTTCCTTCCACATACAATATGGTCTAGTGAGGAAAGAGCCAACATCATCCACAACCTCACTCACTGCTATGTTTAAGCCCAAAACTTGTCTCCAGACCTAGCACAGTGAAAGTTAAAAAGCAGTAGGTCCTGCTGGCCAACTCGGTACCTGAGGACGCCTTTCCAGTTCTTGAAGCAGCCTTTTTCTCCTAACAGACATGTTTGCGGTGGGGTGATGAAAATGTTTTTGTTCCCTTTGGACAGCAGGGAGATAGTCACTCAGAATGTCAGGGCTGACCATTGCAAGGCAGGTGCCTGCGGCCGCACTTCCTTCTTTTTTGAACGCGGAGCCCCTTGGGCGGGAGGAAGTGCACAATGATTGGTCTGTTTCTCTGTAGAAGAGTTCAGGGTACACCCCGTTTTGCTTTGCATATATTTACGAAACATCTGCCCTTTTCTTGTTCTTAAATCCTCCCCCTCACCAGCGCCCGCTCCCTTTTCTCCTGTTTCCTCTGCTGTTATGGGCTAGTCTAAATTTTTCATTGGAGATTTCGTTTTCCTGTTGAGGGGCGACTTCATCAGTGTGTAATTTTAACATGGGGGGTGGCGGAGGAAGGGAGAGACGACGGGAACTGAGAAGAAAGAAGCTGAGCGGCCAGAGTTTGGCAAACCAGCCTCTGGCATGGTGACCAACAGGAAGGTTCTGGTCTGGTCCGGAGTTTGCCTCTCAAACGCTGCCTGGAGTCGGCCTGTGTGCTGCTGCCCTCTATAGGCGCCAGGGAGTAATGCACAGCCAGAGAGGCTTGGAGAGGCTTGCCCGCAGATGTGCCCTGTTTATATAATTTTTTTTACACAACCAAAGAAAGCATTTTCAGTTAATTACTACAGGACTTGCTGTTTCCTCCTTAATAAACTATGAACTTCAAAAATGGGGTCAAAGTAACAGCACCTGTTCATGTCTAGACACAGACTGTGTTTAGTGTTTCTCAGCTCCAGAAAAAAGGAGCCCAAAAGAGCTATTAGAGGGAGTTAGATGGGTTGTGAGTTCCTAAGGACAGTGAGTCGTTCTGTTATCTGTGCAGTTGGGAAACGGTCCAGTGGTATAATATATTACTATTACAAGTAAAGTAATATTAGGCAAATGAAGGGGCGAGCAAAAAGATTGAGTTTTCAGTATTTTCTGGTCACAAACGTAGCTCCAATATCTCTGTGCTATGAATGTTCTCCCAAGGTGACCCGTGAGACAAGAAAGAGGAGGGTATGTTGCAAGATGTCAGGTAGGAAGCAAGATGTCAAATCTCGGGAAGGAAGGGCATTTCTATGCAAGAGCATTTATATAAAGAACAAACAATTTTTGCAATGCTAAAAATTAAAAAGTAGTGTTACTCGTTTGGCCATACACTCATTAGCCTAGGCCTTATCTAGGGCATCATAATAAATATTTTTTTCTGTTAAGTGATATCTGTCATTAGTGTTTCATCTTGACATATAAATGACTCAGGAGGACCAGCCTAGATTTATTGAGCAAAATAGAGGTCCTGTTCTTATCAAATACCTTCCGTGGACTCAAATGAAAAGCAGCCAAAGTAGATTTCACTGCTGCATAATGAGTAGGAAATTTAGTGGGGATTCAAGTTATGACTACTCTCCAAATATACTTTAATTTCAGCTCCCCTTAATTCCATCAACAAACATGTACTGAATGACAGCTTTGTCTAATCTACTCTGCTAACAGTATACACTAGACAGCAAACTCTGGGAGGGCAGCAACCAGGCTTGTTTTACTCCCTAACCTATCCTGGCACATCATAGACACATAATAAATATTCATAAAATGAAAATGTGAATTAATGAATTGTGAGAGGGAAGGAAGAAGGAAAGAATAGATGAACACAGGGAATTCAAAACTAAAACATCTCCTCACCCTCAGAGAGTTTAGAGTCTCCGAGTAAAGAAAAACATATAAACAACCATTATTGAAACAAAATTTAGTGAGTAAAGTAGAGAAGTAAAATATACTTTGGCATTTCAGACAATGGTGGGAAGGGCTTGAATTTCAGGAAGAGAGAAGTCCTATCTGGTAGGGAGGAATCACAACAGTTACAAGGAGACAACCTTTGATAAGTACAACGGATAAATACGATTTCAACAAAGTTCAAAAAGGGACATTCAAAGTAAGGGAAATAACTAGAATAAAGATGTAGAGCCAGGAATGTAGATTCTCCAAGATGTCCTGGAAACATTCAAGAAATTTAAGAGTCCAGTATGGCCAGTATGTAGGGCACGTGAGCTCAGCTAAGGCAGATATGGAACCCACTGTATCAGGCTAACATGGTCGTCTCAGATTCTGTGGAGGCAAAGAAGTAGGACTGGAGGAGTCAAGGAGGATAGAGAGCCAGTAAGTAAACAACAGTCTAAATAAAAAGTGTGAAGATGATAGCAATGGAAATGGAAAGGAAACCTAGATGTGAAAAATACAAAGGAAGCAGAGCTGTGAGGACTGGATGAGTTGTCTTTAAGGCAGAGGAAGGTGTATGACCAGACATTTCCAACTTAATGACAAGCCTGTGACAGACAACAATAATGCAAATAGGGACCTTACAGGAGGCATTTATTTTCATGGAAAGGAAGATTTGGGCTTGGGAGACTTTGATCTTGGCCACTTCCTTAAACTGAAAACCAGAAACCAGCTCCTAGCTGCTCCATGGAGACACTCAGGATTTGGGGGTCGGTTCTGTAGTCACCCGTTCAACAGACAGTCGAGAGAGCATCGCAATTTGTTGCTTATCTTATACTGGCATCCTCCATGCTAAAAAATATGCCTAAAAGCTTCCCCTCTTTTCATCTTTACCATACCATCTCTGCCTCCTGCCCTCTGAAACGGCAGATTTGATTTCACAACCCGTTGGAACAAACACACAGCATGTTAATCTAACACCATATTCTGTGAAGGCAGATTTAACTACCTGGTATAACAAATTTCAATACAAAATATTCTGTATACCAAGTCCATTGCCATGCTTACAGAAACAAAGGAAACATGGAAACAAATCTACTTAGAACAAATTCTGTACTGCACATAATCTTCTACCAAAAACTAAATAAAATACTTTCTCTGGTCACCATACACATAATAACAAAAAAGGCACAGAGCCAAAGAAACTGGAGGGCATGTTCAGGATATGATGAATAGTCCAGGTTGGCTGGGGCCTGTGGTCCAGCAGAAGCTAAGTGTTGATTCATTTATATTAGTTGCATTGTCCTAGGGAGAGAAGACCAGAGCTGACCCAGAGCTGAGCTGTTCCTCTTCCTGACCCCAGCAGCAGTTAGCAGTGATTACCTTCCAGTTCCCTTCACCCCTTCCTCCTCGCACCCTAACCCCACAGTCACACGCAGACTCCAGCATCATGAGCTGAATCATTGAACAAAGGCATCACAAGTTTTGGATGAATAAAGGGTTGAAATAGAGGATCTCTGTGTGACACCTTTCCTCTTTACCTACTGGAACATAAGCTCTTCTTAGCACTTTTCATTTGCTACTTTAACAAACACCGCCATCACTACCCCTCTAATCTGTACATCCTGCAAATTTACATTGTGATTTGGAATTATGTGTTGATCAGAAATAAAATCTAACAACAGCAAGAAAGTTGAACGTGCCGTAATGTGTTCCATGAATAGAAACTTAAAACTGGAAGGAACCTTTAAGGCCTTCTAATCCAAGCCCTTTATTTTACAGATGAGGAAACTGAAGCCCAGAGAGGTGAAGTGAGGTGCCCAAGGCCACACAGCAAGTTAGAGGCACAGCTAGTACCATAGCTCAAGTCTCCTGACTCCCAGTCCAGTGCTCCTCCCATTACTCCACGGGTCCTGTCTCTAAGCTTCCTGACAAATGCTAGAACGGTAAACCTCCACTGGTATTTTTCCAGACCATGTTAAAATTCTTAAGGGGGAAAAAAAAGGATGCTTTCTTGAATAATGTCAGCCATACGTAGCTCAAGCTGTCTAAAGTTCTGGGACAGGGTCTTTTTATGCAGCCAACAGAGTCCAAATGTGGCGCTGTTTGCTTGGCCCATATGCTTTCTTGTGTTCCCAGTTAGGCCATTACTGGAGGGAAAAAAACAAGACTCAGCTTGTTTTAAAACAAGGGACATACTGGACTCCCTCCCATCCCCCCTCAGAAAAAAAAAAATCAAGTTATCTTTAACAGATTCTAAAAATGCCTTTTCCCAAATACGCAGTCAGTTCCTTCAAAGGGCCCTTTGTTTATTTTCAGGAAGAAACCCAAGACAGCTGAAAACCAGAAGGCATCTGAGGAGAATGAGATTACTCAGCCGGGTGGATCCAGCGCCAAGCCGGGCCTTCCCTGCCTGAACTTTGAAGCTGTTTTGTCTGCAGACCCAGCCCTCATCCACTCAACACATTCACTGACAAACGCTCACGCTCACACCGGGTCATCTGACTGTGAGTACACCAGTGAGGCGCCGGTGTCTTCGCGGGGCCCAGAGCTCGCTTCTGCCCCGGGTTCTGGCTCCCTCGCCTTCCGAGCGAGCTGTTTGCACTGGGTCTTCTGAAGTAGCCCCAAGTGACTTGCCACCATATTGACTCAGGCAACATCTCTATTTTCAAAGCTAGGGTGTACCAGGTAACTAGCCGTTTGGCCTCAACAAGCTGTTTAATGACAGGAACCACATTCTCTTTCATAACATTAGCCCCCCTCCCGCCAGAAAAGTTGCGTCGCTGCTTTCTAACTGTACTTCATCGCCGTGATCTGAGTAATGGCCCCGCCACCATGACTAAATGGAACGACCAAATATACGGACCTCACCAGGCCGGTTAGACACGGGAAACATCCGTTTTGAAATTACATGATACAAGTCAGCTTTCCATTAGTTATTGGAGTCTCATGTAGCTTGGCTGAATTTCTGTCTTTCCAGTTTTTAATTTATTTTGAAGTGGTTAAAGGATAGCATAAGTTTACAGGAGAAAAGAGAATGGCTTCCAAGAATTCAGAATCCACCCAGACTTCACATAGCCAATTACAATTCAGGTCAAAAATATTTTTTAATTAAAAAAACTGCCTACGGGCTAAATTTGGAAATGGGCAGCTTAATGAGATCGTTGCTATTGAAGTCACTCCATTGCTATTTATTTTTGCTGTCTCCCCACTAATCTGGGAGTCACTTCTTCAAATTCTATTTTAAGAAAATTGATAAATCCCGTTGAGGAGGTTTTTTCCCTTCCTGAAATGTAACCCAATACTTTGAAGAGAAAAAACACGCGTGGTGGCAATGAAAAAGGTATGGAGTGACTTTGAGATCTAATACGAAAGAATATTCCTTTTAGTCTTGAGATACCCAACAGGTTTTCTGAATGGATCTCCATAAGGGATGTCTGCTAACAGGCAAAGAGCTGGCATATTCTTCTTTAGAACGAGTAAGATAGGACCAAGAAAGTTTTATTTCCAAAAAAATAAAGACTCCATTTATCCTGTCCATGAAGACAAAAATTATACATTAGGAAATGAGATTCAGAAGCTCCTATTGTTATTTTTCTGTCAAAACCCACATAAAACTCTGCAAAGAAGGCAAGAGGTGAATGAGTCTGGGAGATTCCATTCCCTCCTTTCTTCATCGTAACCGTCACTAGATAAGGGGACAAGACCTAGGGGCTGGGGGTGGGGTGAAGGGAACTTTTTCTACTCGTGTTGGGCTGAGACTACCCTCCAGCTGTCACTAAAAATGAAATGAGAAATACCGAGATCCCAGTCTCTAGAGCCTGTATGATTTGTTCAAAGTTGCTGCTTCTGTAGAGAAACCTGGGGCTCAGAAGCTGGCACTGTGTGCTGCGGAACGTCGTAACGGTAACATCCTTGGCCTTTCTCTCCTGGCAGTCTCCAGCCTAATAGTAATTACAGGAAGAATTGGAATATAGCATGGCACAGTGCCCGTAGACATGTGCACACTGTCCATACCTACCAGGAAGGTAGCCTGTTCCTGTGGAGAAGGGCCTGGAGCTCCTGCACGCAGACCTTCATCACCTGGCTTTCTGCCACACCTTATGGGGAAGATTATATAGAAGGGCCTTGGTCCAGAAAACCCCTGTTGCAACAAAATGAATGTTTTGTGAATAAAAAAAGCACTGGGCTTCACTTATTGTACTTTACCATAGGCATCCTCTGGCCAGGCCTTGGCATTAACATGGAATGTGTACAAGGAACTGGACGAACAAGGTGCTGCTGTACAACTGTGGGTGACCCTGAGGAAGCCAGCAGATCTGAGCTCAGTATGGAGTCTGAGTGCAGTTGGAAGAAGAATAGGGAGGAGAAACCTAACTTCCAGCTGTTTAGAAAGTCATTTTGATTTTATCATTAAGATGTGTAAGTCTTTTCTGCTCTAACCTGCTGTTTAAATTGATTATACTTTCCTCCAAATATATTTGTATTGTAGTGTGTCCTGATTTGAGCCTACACTTAGAAGAAAATTGTTTTTTAGGAAAGATTCACAGAAATCTGTCCATTTGGAGATTGCTTGAGAGAAGACAGGAAAGAGATTTATTTTAAGCTGTTAAAATTTTTGGATGCTCTTCTTGCATTCAAGAAGATTTTTTTTTTAAGTTTCAAATGTCATTCTTACCATAGATTAATTTAAAAGCCTAATTTCTTTAAGGTAAAATATTCAGCTTCTATTTAGAACTAACAGATTTGGGGCATTTAAAAATAGTGCCCCTGACTTGTTAGTCTCTTTAACTTCAGAACCATTCCACCAGTGTGTGGTGTTCCGGGCTTTCACAAGGTGTGTGAATTTTTATAGCACCCTCTTATTTGTCATGTGCTTAGCAAAATTATTCTTGGTCATGCCTTAATGCCCATCTCTCCTCAGTCAGTACAACTCTTCCCAATTTGCAGATGAGAAAACTGAGAAAATTGACACTCCAGTAGATGAATGACTTAGCTCGGTAGTTAACTCATTCAGATACCGAGAGATGTTTATGGATTTGCTCTCACTGTGAGCAGCCTGAATTCTCTGTTCCAAGCTCAGAGATGGCATTCTTGAGAATGTGCTGCGACTCATGCTGGTGGGTTATAAAACACAATGGATAACCATCCACACAAAAGAAAACTCAGCTCTGCATGTGAACCCGAAAGGGTGGGTAAGACATAGTGTCACTGCCTTTGAAAGACACAGCCATGTTTTAGACAAAGAGGACAAGTCAGACCCCTTAAATTATCAGTGGGCTCTTCAACCTGCTGAGCCGCTTCCACTTTGGTAAAAGATCCCACTAATCTTCAAAACAAAGCAAGAATATGGTTGAGAAATGCTTGCCTCCATGAGATGACGAAGCTCACGTTGCTGCTGAAATGTGTGCCGCTCTGCTGTGCACCTGCCAGTGGTCACCTCCGGCGTCAGTCCCCCATTACCTCTGAGCTCGTCATCTCTTCAGCATTTCAAAAAATCTAATGGTAAACAAACCCAGATGATGATAATGAAAGGCATTAAGATGGGTTTTGCAACGCCAAAGGTACAAAACCCTGTTTGACAGAACAGTTACCCACAACAGGCTAAGGAGAAGCTGAGCCACGCTCCCTTCGAATGTTAAAACAGGACTAAGCCAAGTCAGCAGAGCAGATGAAGCTGCCCGTGGTCCGACAGCCGTCAAGCGCCAGCACATCACAGTTACATGTGTGAGATGGACTCGACCGGAATTCTCACCTGCATCCTCCTTCCATTCTCTTTTCCCCCAAATAAGGCTCCAGCTGAAGGGAGAGGTGATGGTCCCAGCTTTGGCAGACCCCCCTGCTTCTGGCTGGAGATCCACCTCATCTGCTCTGTGTTTTGTTGGAGGCTGACATCCGTGGTTACTTACCTTCCCACATTTTGCACTGGCCTCATCAGGCTGTCTCATTTTTTTGCATCCTTGCCAAGATGCTTTTATGCACTAACAGTTTTTATTTATTTTTAATTTAACCTTTACACATTACCAAACTGTTGTGTGGGTGGGTTTAACTTTAGCTCTGTAGGTAGCATGACTCTGCTGGGGCTGAACACTGTCAAGGAGCCTGGTGGGCTCTTCCTTTTCTCTCTCCTGCCATCTACCTTCATTGGCCTTCCCCCTCCCAACCCTTTGCTCCACAAGTCCAAGTCCCCACGATTAAAATTTTTAGTACTCTTGGTTCAGTTTTAACTTTCAAGCAATTTTTAGAGAACAAAACAAAGAGGATATTTTATAGCAAACTCCATTAATGCCACATTAAGGCTGACATTTTAATTACCCCAAAGTCAGGAAATACAAAGTTCAGGTTCCCACAGTGACAGAAACTGTCCCCTGAGTGCCGCCATCACAGCAGATTCTTTCATTCCCTGATTACACAACACCAGGCAGGGGGACCTTGTTTTTTATCCACATAAGTGGAAAGGAGCATAGCTGTTATCCTGTTTTTTTCCTGTAACTACAGTTGAGGATATGGGTCTTTAGGTCCCCTCCCCGAGCCATCTATATGTGTAATCCTGGAACAGAAGACTGTTATCGCTCTACATGTGCACACGGACAGAATTAAAGTTGCTGTGGGAACATTAACTCTGATTTCCGGACTTCCGTGCCAGTCACATTTAAACCATAATGTTGTAATTTTTGGCATGTAATAAATGTGCATTTCATGTACACAGATAGAAAGAGGCATAAAATGTATTTTAAAGAGCAATTAATTACTAACTTTGTGATTAAAAAACATTTGGTGCATGTTCCTTCCCATTTAGCATCAGCTGCTGGTCTTAGCCAGGCCTAATAGATGACATACTGTGTCTCATCCTGTATCTCAGATGTACTTACTGTATGTTCCTGTTCTTCTGGATAATTAATTCCCTTAGTAAAGCTGTAGGGGGAAAACAAAATGGAAGGAATATGCAAGCATGTAAATAGGGTAAAGGATATTTTGAAGGAAATGATTCATTCCTGCAAATAAACCTCTTAGTCCCTGGTAAAGAGCCAGAAATCTGCTAAGTGGGTGTAGACAAAGGTTTCTGGCCACCTTAGGGCAGCTGGTCCAGGGCCATACAAACAGCTTGAAAGCAGATTTCCCCCTGAATCCCAGGCATGCCCAAATGGGGGAGCGATTTGACTCTAGGAACTTTTCAGGCTTAAGGCTTAACAAATTATCTTATTCTGTATCAACTTTTCAATTTCTATGCCAACTGGAAGAGGAGAGTGGTAGGGAATAAGGCAAGATGTGGACTTTGCCGAAACAACCCCTTATTTAGAGAGTAGCATCTTACCTTCCTGTGGACTTGAATCTGGTTGGCCTATTTGTATTGGAGAAGTATTTCAAAATAACTGAACAAGTTTGTGAGGAAAGGGAATTGCTTGTAATACTCAAAGTTACAGTGTTTAGAAACACAAATGCTTGAGCATTCCTTCAAAACTGGGGGAGATAGAATTTTTCCTGAAAGGGCGTGTCGCTTAAAGTC